TTTTATGATGACTGTTAAATGTTATATCTAACTCAGTCAGTATTTTCGTGAATACTCAATTTGCCGCTGGCCATTGCCTGCTGCAATAAAACTGTTTATGGCTACATATTAAACTTGTAACTAATCTACAATCTTATTTTATAAGTTAAAATATTTGTAATAGATATTTTATCTTTCTATTGATGATAGAGATGTGCGAGTACTCGAGATTTTGAGTACGAGTCGAGTACGGCCTTGAAACTCGGCAGTTTCGAGTCGAGTTTGGTTTAAAATTGTAAAAAATCAATATTTGTTAAAATGTAACTTGTGTTTGCATAAAATGCTTTATAATTTGTATTATTATAGATTCTACAGTAATACAAATATTTCTACAGTGTATAAATGAGCAAGAGGTAGTTGTCCTAACCTATTTTTATAGCTGTCACAACAGAATAGGTCAACTCAAAGCAGTCGCCGGCGACTGACTGGCAATGGCATAATCTGGACTTGACACAGAATGACATGATCGGTAGTGATTTTGTTTTAAAGTACTGTTTCACAATAGAAAATTCCACTACTAAACTGTTACAAGCAATAAATCTATGTTTAAAATAAAATCAGAATAGAAACACTACAAACGGCAAAACAATAGAAGGGAGGGAGGGGTTGTGCAATGACCTCGAGCATAGCCGTCTCTAGTAATAAGGCCGCGGCGAGCGAAATCTGGCAACGTCGCATCAGAGGCATAGTCTAGCGGGCTCCCGCCATTAGTTTGCACTGCTACACGGCGCATCACAGGTGATTAACCTGTTTGTTTTACACAATTAGGGACACTATGGTATTAGTGACAGTGTATTATGCCTCATAAGTGTGTCGTGCCGGGGTGCAATAGTAACCACCCAAAATCATTAAAAACTGAGGGGTATATACCAGAGGGTATAACTCACTATACCATACCACTTATGTAATTAAGGAAATAATTACTTATATTCTAGTAGAAATCCAAGCTCCTTACTTTTTAACTGCCAAGCTTCAAACAGACTGTTTAGAGTCGAGATTCGGACAATATAGACAGTTAGCGGGGGATAACTACCACATTTCAGTGAGACAGCAGACAGGTTATGGAAGCTGAACATAAAATAAGAATTAAAAGCTTACTGGGCCTCCATTCGGTTCGTTATGGAGAAATTCCTTTCTCCGTTAATGTTTGTGAATCTATAATTGTTACACAAAGTAAGTCTAGCTCCTATTCCAACCCTAAAAGCAAGACACAAATGAACCAAAGACTTATGAGTGTATTAGATGATAACTATTTGGATAATGTGGATTTTGACAAATCAGGCCTACTGTATGTGTGTGGCTATATTAGCTTCAAAATAACGACTAACATACAATGTAAAAGTTGTATTTCACTGGTTGTAAGCCCAATTAACACAGATGATGTTTATTTTCAAACTATTAACCGGGGTGGTTTATCTGTCCCTAGTGATTTTGTGGTTTGCATAGGTAAACATGTACTAGGTATTATGCAGACGTTAATATCAGAAGAGTTCGAAGAAACATTTTTACTGAGCAGCGATCAGAGACGTGATCTAGTAACTTTAGCCGAAATCGGCATTCTTAATGACAACAGTATTGTAGTAGACTTAAGTATATCTTGTGAATGTGGGCGGGCTTATGCAAAATTAGCATCAGATGTGATTTTTAAAATGTCAAATGTGCTTCTTAGTAACTACACAAAAAGGAAAAATTACAAACTAAATGTAAAATCCAGTAAAAGGAAAGTCACAATATTATCTTAAGTTACTTCATATTTCTGAACAGTGTAATCTCTTTTTGAATAAAATATGTTTAAAATAAACCTTTCTTTTTTATTCAAACCGGCTACAATCTCTCTAGGCCTATTTTTAAGAGTATTTTCTTTAATAAACTCATTAGGTTCCAAATTGGATCAGTTTTTATTACTATGTATAGCACTTGTGCATAATATTCAGGGTTAAGTGGTGAATATACATTTATATAAACATGTATTAATTAGTATTTCGTAATACTATGTGTAACATTGTAAGCACCATTTCATGCTAAAAATGAATCTATTGTACTGTTTCCAGTTTGATAGCTTTTAATGTGAATAAGGGCAGTTTTGGCGAAACGTTGCACGTTTTACCGCTGGCGGCAATACCCGGAGTTGGACCAGGGTGGGGATGAGTTGCGGCGTTGCCACAACGAAGGCCGCGGCCTATTACTAGAGACGGCTATGCCTCGAGATGAGCCGGCAACAGCGAGTGGTGTAGGGGGTTGGGGGGAAGGGGAGGGTGAGACCTTGGAGCTATATTTAGACCAGACTAGACTTTCACCACTTCCGAAATGGCTGGGTAGAGGCAGGGGGATTACAATAGCAGGTTTTTCCTTGCCTGGTTTGACTTTTGTCTTTTTGTATAGGAGATTTGAATCATCAAAAATATAATTTGAATTGGCCACAATTAATTATTTAGCATTGAAAATACAATCTGCAAGGGACCAGGAGAAATATTCAAATTAGAGTTAATATAATGATTTACATTTTTATGTCAAAATACAACATTGCACAATCATGATGTTTTGGGTCATTGACCTTAATAACGCATCTGTTATAAGTTGATAATTATAAATTGATGCTACCGTGGTTGAAAATAATTATTCTGTAAACTTTTAAAACATAGATAACTCATAAATAAGTATAAAATCATTCATAAAGACAATAGTAGCACTCCTAAAAAAGCTTACAAATATCTCAAAATAATTAAGTGCTAGCTAGCACTTGGTCTTCTAGGTTAAATAGTTTGTTTTCCTTCATGACAACTTGCATTAATGTGGTTAATGTGCATGGAATACAATTGATTATAGTGAGTTAGGCCTATGTCTAGGTTTCATTTGATTTCTTTAACTACTATTGTATGAGCCTATTACATTATTCCGTACAATTTCCAATCTACAATTGTTTTGTTTATCAGTAAGGTAGACTACTTGTAGGCCTATTTGCACTTTATTTTTAACATGTATTTTGAGTATTTTTACAGAATGTTTGTTTACAATTAACATACAAGATTAAAAAATTTAATTTTCTTTAATTTCAAAATTTATTTTTATTTTACCCACTGTCAAACCATTGGAAATTTTGTAGGCCTACTGTTACAAAAACCACACCAACTAAAAGAATAATGGTAATAAACTTAAAAAACTAAAGGTGAAAAGGTAGGAAATAAAATTTCAAGTTTTAGAATAAATCTCTTTATTAAACTTGATATTGTAATTGCAACCTTAATAACTAATAGATGCAAGTATTGAGTAATTTTAGCCAAGTATTATGCAATATTACTTATCAATAGGGATTAATGTATTTAATTTTTGGATAAATAAATATATGCTCACTTACCTATTTTTCACAGAAGTAGAAGTTCATTTATGAGCTCTATTGTTGTTGTTTTAAATTATTTTCTATGCATTATATTGATATGTTACTGCACAAATATTAATAATTAATTTATTTATAATCATACTTCAGCTTGTAACAAGGTTGTTTTACAAGTTACATGCTCTAGGCCTAAGGAGTTACTTAAACTTACACATCCTTCGATCTTTTGGGTTTAAACTCGACTCGAACTCGAGAATCGAATCTTTTGCCAATTACTCGACTCGAACTCGACTCGACCTGAAAAACCTGTGCTCGCACATCTCTAATTGATGAAACCACAAGCATAGTTGTTGTTGTTTGCATATTTTTTTTTGTTATGCAATCCTACTCGGTCTCAAATTATGTCATTGCATGTTCTGTATCTTGTCTTATATTGTTAGCTCAAATGTTTTTTTAGTTTCCTGTATTTTTTATTGTGTTGAAGGTAGTTTATGCAATCTAAATCTTATGAACTAGATAGTGATTTTGCTACCCTCATTGTAACCTAATCAATTTATATATAGGCCCTCCTAGATAATTAGGTCTAGGCCTGGGTCTTTTGATTCTTTGGAACAGCTTTAAAATATACTAAGAAAATTTGATTGAGCCTGAGATATAAACTAATGATTGATATGATTGATATTGTGGATGTTAACTTTGTAAATGAAAAGACAATAATCTTACTCTGTGATAATCCAAATTTTAGTTTCATAAAAAAACTTATTACCTACCGGTATCTTAGTTTTGAATCTGATAAAAAAAATGCTCTTTGCCATTACTTCATCATAACCTCCAATTTTTCATTGTCGTCTGCTGTGAACAGCTGACAAAACTACACTGTCTTCGTACTGAATGCTTTTATATGTTTTTAACAATTTAAAAAAACAACTAGACATTGTGTTGGTTGGAAATAATTTACCAGTTTTGTGAAATTATCTTGTCAATAAATGTTTCAAACATGTTTATTCATAAAAACTCTTATCCTATTTTTAAACCACTTTATCATGGCTATTCAAAGTATCTCAGAGTAAATAGGTAAAGCCTTTATCTTAACTGTGATTTTTCTTGATGCAATCCTCGTAGTAGTAAAAGGTTTTGTTTTAATAATGTGTGGTACAGTAATTGTTGTTAGAAAACCATGAATGTAGGATACTATCCATTTTCATAGTAATGTCAATGTATTAAAGTTAAAAATAATGGTTTAAATACAGTTCTGAGAAGAAAAACCCCAAAAATACGGGTACCCGCGTACCGTACCGATTTTGTACCGAGAACCGAGGTACAAAATATTGTACCGTACCGAACCGTACCGACCTTAAATTTTCTGTACCGCAGACCCCTAGTTCTGGCTATCAAAATATCCAAGCTTTAGCCGCGATTGCAGATGACAATGATAACCACAGGAAATGATGGTGACTCAGGACTGCGGGAGATATCCAGGATTTTACCGTGAGCGCGAAAGACTAGGATAGGATAGCGTTTCTGTGATCGATGGAGAATATTCAGAATTTTGCCACGATCGCAGATGACGATGATATCCTTTCCGTGACAGGTTTTATGTTATAATGCCCTTACTTGATTGTTGTAGTGTCGTCTGGACTGGGGACTGGAACAAGGTCCCTGTTCACTGGTTCCACCACCACTGCACCAACTGCTATCTTCAACTCCACTTCAGCTCCTGCTATCTTCAAAGGCCTTGGTGGTGTTGACACTACCACTACCCAAGGTAAAGTTGACTTATCAGACATCTGTCTAGTGAATTTAAGAAACAATGTTATTTCACGGTGTAATTAAAGTTTGACGGTAACCATATCAAATTCACAGAAAATTTTTGAAAATTAAATAATCCATCTATTTGTGAAAATCTAAAATTTTTAAAGCGATCCCAAGAAATCTTAATTAATATTAATCTAAAGCTAGATGTATATAACAGATTGACTATTTTTATATGCCCAAGTAGGCATTGGAATGTTTATGTACCTTAATAAATCCAGAGAATACACAGTATAGTATGGCCTGTATATCTGATCAAATGTTTTATTTGTAGGTTCAGGTCAAAAAGATGCAAAATCGGTCAAAGAAAACATAGTGAATCAAGAAATAATGCAAACCTTTGATGTGTTCAAGTAAGTATATTGGCACTGACTGATGCTGTTAATACTGTACATGTAATGGGAAATGATTATTTTCCAAACAAAAGGTAGTCGGTAGTAAAAGGTAGTAAACGATAGTGTTCTGATCCTTAATACAGGGTACAGGGGGGGGGGGTTTGGGGTGGAGGGTTGATTAATGTATTGTACAGAGTGTCAAAACGTCCCCAGGTGGTTAAATATTTTAAAAACGAATAAAGATAAAGCTGCAAAACTTGGAACAAAGTTATTAGGCATAAAAATCATTTTAACACATTATATGCTGCCTCTTCAGGACAGCCTGCTAGGGGTAAGAAAAATCTTAAAACTAAGCATATGTTGATGTAAACATAAAATTAAAGGTGTTCATGAGTATATTACAATGGCACCCTTTCAAAGGTTTCTTGAATTTTTAATTATTACACCACGTTCTCATTGGAAAAATTCTAAATTCCAAAATACTGTATGCTCTTTTTTTAAGCATATTAATCTATGCTTCAATTAAAGATTTTATTCTGACCACTGAGTGGGTAATGCCCCATTGCAAATTCAAGAATATTTTGTACTGTTGCCTTTTTTGTCACGGCTGTCCGTTGTGTTAAACTTATTTTATGTCCAGTAACTTTGTATCAAGTTTTGTAACTATTGTTTTTGTTGTTAGTTTATAAAATATTTAACCGTCCCAGGACTTTTTTTTGACACAAAATCTGTAACAATTCAATATTTCCACTGATATTTTTGCATAGAGTAATTTAATTTTCACCATATGTTTTTTATCTATATGTCAATCAATCTCCCTTCATCAAACCATGTATAGTATTATGGCCAAACAGACCAATAGATAATTGATTCAATACAATATAATATAGAAAATTTCCAAATAACCTAATTTCATGTAAATATATAATAGTCTATAATTTTTGTAACAAATTTGCTTCAAATTCAACATAATTTTATTTAAAGAACTTTTCAAAATTATAATTTAGCTCTCTAGCAAATGTAAATTGTTATAATATATGTGTGAACAGTGGCCTACAATTTTCTGTGATTAAGTCAGCATTGACATGTGTGAGTACAACAATACATCAAACCTGCATCACTTCCAAGAGAGCTGAGCTAGTATGAAGAGATAAATTGTAAACTGCCTATTTTAATATCAAAATTTATAAAAAAAGGGCCTATATTTGAACCTAAATTATTGAAATTCGATTAAAGAAGAACCGTCCTTGTTAAGAACATTAATAATTACTACATCAAGAAATTTACCATGAAGAAGACATCCATTTTTGGTGAGATCACTCCAGTAGACATTTTCTTTCCTTGGAAGCCATTAGAACATTTTTAGGCCTAATTTTTGGAACATTTAAATACTAACATTCAAAGTCAAGAAACACCAATCAAGTCATAAATTCAACCAATCAGAAAATAATTTGAACCTATTTTATATTTCAAAACAAAATTTAATTAGGCTATCTTATAATCACAAGATTAAATTCAAATGCCGCTCGATCACCCCACCTGAGATAAAGATCCATGCAATAAGTTATAACACCTGAACCTAAATTAGAACTATTGTAATAGGCTTAGCCTAAAGCTTTAACTAGTAAATTCATTCCCACTCTTTGTAAACTTTAAGTATTGTGAACCCTTTCTTTTCTTTTACCATCAATTTTGTATTTTAATTAAATAATTTTAAGTTTCGATACTGTACATGGAGTTTCCATTATATTCTTAACTTTAAGGTTGATTACAAATCTTACAAAATTGTATTGGCCTAAATAACTTGCTGCAAAAGCCAGAAAATATTTATCACCCTGTATAGCAAATATTAATGTAGCATAAATATTTTACAATATAGTATCTATTTGGGTTTTTTTTTTAAGAAATTGTAGTGGTAAACTGTTGGTGAAATTGCATCATGACACCTGAAGCCTTCAATCTAGACTACAAACCTCGCCTGTGCTGCATTGCTGGTTTTTAATGTGTTACGGCCTCTAATGTGTATTAGGTGTGTGATTCTGTCTTTTTATGTGTATATTAATTTATTTTGGTTTATTTTGACAAGTTCAATTGCATTGAAAATGTTTAAAAGTTCTGGTGATTGTGTGTACACATAGTTTATCAAAATTGAGTAATGGCCAAACAACTAAACTACAGTAGATCACTGTGTGAAATTTTTATATTCAGTTAACTTTAAAAATAATATTTTGGAAATAGTATTATTTCTAATCAATAAGGTCAAATGTCAAAAAGGATTTCAAAGTTCTTAATATACCGTATATAACAATCTTACATCGCACATGTGCAGGCAAAGCAAGTTGAAACAAAATAAATGCACGTATATTTTGAATAAATAGCATAATAAATATACAACTAAGGGTGTAACATATAGCACAATGGCCAAGATTTTATGGGGATTGTTAGGATAGCAGAATAGCTGAATGAGAAAGAGTCCACTTTTCACACTTAATTTCACTCACCACTTTTCAGAAACTTTGTGAAGCAACAGAAAAATTTAAGCTGTGAAGTGTCACGTGCCCCTGTTAAACCCATGCACAAAGTCACTGAAGATACAGAAGCTTTGAAACAACTGCTTACCTCTGTATCAAGTGCCTTACAAAAGAACCGAGTGATTGCCAACAAACTGAAAGCTGACACAACTAAGGTAAGAACACACACAAGATTTACTAAATCACAGGAATATATGAATGAAGAATGTTTACACAACTAACTCGCCTGGGAAAAGACTTTCAGACAGTTGATTGTTTGAATATAAAACTTGAGGGCGTGCTATTGTTTATAATTAGGTCGTTTAAGAGAATTTGCCTTTTGGTAAAAAGCTATTACTGTATGTGGCTCGGAAAGTCCCAGAGTAGGGACCAATTTACTTTCTCCATTTTGATATCCCCAGAGGCCAAAAACACCAATAAAAAAAAAAATAATAATAATTTAGTTGTGTGTGTTTGTATGTTGTGTTTTAATTTATACGAGGTGTTAGCCCGTCCTACGTACGGGGAGTATTCAGTCAAAACGGTGTAGGCCTATAATTCAGAACAGCTAGTTTACAAATTTTATTGCAGCCTACAGTAGAAAGAGTATTAATTATCAATTGAGAAGTGTATAGGCCTAGTCAATGATATCACCTTCCATCGCATACCTACCTCTTCCATAATCAATATCACCACAATACAATTACTTATACTATACACAAATTTCCAGTAGGTCTGAATAGAAACTCCCTAAAATAAAACGAAAACATCCAATACAATTCACAGTACACATAATTATAACGTTGGTGTCCTGATATCACTAAACGAATCGTCCACACACATCCTTTATGTCAATTTCACTGCATCAATTGCTAAATAAATAAGTTTAAACAAAGAAAAGTAAACACAACAACATATTAGTTTGTTTTGTAAACAGCTGAGTCAAAAATAATATTCATTTGAACAAAAGAACTGGGCACATGTTGAAGGAATTTAAAAAGTAAAAACGCTAGTAAAGCTAGTGACGTAATTAATTGTCTATGTTTATTATCCATTCCGTTATCAGTTCCAATATCCTTGATAATTGAACCACCCTCATTGAATCCATGTACATCGTAATTCCCCATATTCATTTATTTAAACTATAAAATATTCAGCGCCTCCAAACGTAACCACAACTAAACACATGCCAAACAACTTTTTTAGATTTCATAAAAGGATGGTTAGTCTAATTGCAGTATCCTAGGTCAATGATGACGTTGTGTTCAATCTATGTCATTCATCTTATATCTTTGGATAATACCCGTCTGAGGTTGTGGTGGCAATTTAAAATTGTATTCCTGAGGATTCTTGATCTCCATCTTTATGACATCAATATTTCCGGGCCTAATCCAAGCAAAGTTCAGGCATTCAAAAACATTGTTTGTAAACAAAAAGCTGCCAAGATGAATTAAAACATGTAAAATTTGTGATTTTCCTACCCTTTCCAAAAAAGTTGAGCGGTAAAATAATTTGCATTTCTTTTTTTATTTAACTTGTGTACAGAGCCTCGACTTGTACACATCGATGGTGTTACTTATCTCGGTGGTCTACTAATCTTACTTATTTCCCATAATCAATGACAAAACCTGAGTAAATAACCTCATAGTTCTATAGGGCATTTTAACCAGCTGTTAGTTAAAACAAATTATATTGCTCTAAAACAAATCGAAGATTACAAAGATTGCTTTTTTAAAATAATTTGAACATCCTAGTATTTTACTATGTATATTAAATTAATCTGTCATCCTCTTACAGAAGAATTGAACGTATCAATGATTAGCATTACACATAGTATAAATAAGTCAACCCTAAGTATGTCTTTACATTTTTATCCAAATGCTTAATTTGCGACACAAAAGCTGAATGTTTACAGCTGTTATGTTAAGCAAATTAATTTATGCCAATAGCTAGTTTAGAATCTTAGCGTCGGCTGCTAGACTTTTTAAAAATTAAAACTTAATTTCTAAAAAACTGGGACCCTAAACTAAAATTATGGCTTCGACATTCCCTAGTTCTCAAAATTATCTTTCTTTCAACACAAAAATTATGAAAATCCGTCGAGTGGTTGATTCAGAATCGTGAAATAAAAAAACACTGTTTCGTTTTAATATTATAGATATAACACACATGTGTGTGCGTGTGTCCGTGAACACAATAACTTTGGTAATTTAGATGAAATTTAGCATGAATGAGTAAACCTGGATAAACTTGAATTAGTTCACAAACAAGCAAGACTGGGTCATGGGAATGGCATGTTATGGGGCTTTCAAGCTGTTGAAAAATTGGGTTTTTTAAAAATTTTACCCTTAAAAACACGGAAATGCACAATTTTCATTGCAACCATCGTATAGAGTATAGAGGTAAAATCTTGTTTTATATTTTAACATGTGTTCAGTGAAGTTCCATAATGTGCTGTTTCATGGCTATAACAAAGACTCTGTTACTCAGTGTCTCTCCCTGTGTGAGATGGCTCAACGTACACACGACACACCCCCGGGGCTGCAGAATGACAACGTAGCTCCTCTAGAGTTCTTCATTCAGTTGGTGTCCAAATTTGAGCGAGACATCCAAGTTCTCCGTCAAGAGATTGACAACACTGAAAAACATGTCAACTCATTATCATACCCTGCTATTCTAACCCCTCAAGGTAAGACAATTTCAATGTTTCGTTTTTTCATTGTAAACACACATTACACCAAAATGTTGATATGTGATAGTGAAATTGCATATATTGTGTTTATGAATACCCTGAACCCTAAATAAAAATGTTCAGTTCACCCGTAGATAGTTTACCCCTCTTAGATGTTTTTAATTCCGCAACTTCTTGCAAAGGATGACCCCATAACAGTTTGAACGAGTTTATACTTGTTAACAAAAATAAAAGCTTAGTTACACACACTTTTAGAGGACTTAAATTTGACCAAGTATATATCGTTTTTAGCACAGATGGCTTTAGGCCAGTATTTTGTGTTGGATTGGTTTAACAGCAGGCTTATTTACCAAAAAACATCAAGTATATATACACAGTGTAAGTAAACTAGTGGTTCCACTTAACCCCCGCCACAGCAAATCTGCAAACTAAGCGAATTTGCCTGATTGGATTAACACTAAAATGCCTCCTTAAAAATATCACATTTATTCCCTATTTAAATAGAATTAGTTTAACGAGTACCTACTTAGGTTTGCTGCAACAGGGAGGGTAAAAAAGGGTTTTTTTGTTTTGAAATATGTATAGGTTAGTAAGAAGTGAATGTATTTTCCAAATTTGATCAAAATATGTTCATAAAAGAGCTAACTACAACAGTTGACCCAGTTGACTTATATTCTCCATAAGAATAACATGGGAATTTAATTTACAATTTTTTTGAATTTTCTCCGTAACCATTAGGCCCACAATAATACTTCAATATAATAAATTATTTGTTTTTTAAGCCCTACAGGTTTGGAATGAAATTGTGAAATTATGTGTTTTTAGGGAAAAAAATGGGAAAACCCTATTTTTACCCCATAAAACCTCCCATAAACCCTCGTTCTTATAGTCCGATCATGCTGGTTCGCGAACTCATTCTAATAAATGTAGGTTTACATGTTTATACCAAATTTCATCAAAATCGGATCATTTTGATTTTTCATCAGGCTGCATGACAGCTTTGTCGCGCTGGTAGACCTCAGACAGAAACTACTACTACTTGTGTGTTGTTTGGTTGCAGAGTTGTCCGTGGCATTATGCAGGTTGCACGACAGCTTTGTCGCGCTGGCTGGTAGACCTACGACAGAAACTACTAACTACTTATGTGTTGTTTGGTTGCAGAGTTGTCCGTGGCATTACGCAGGCTGCATGACAGCTTTGTCGCGCTGGCTGGTAGACTACAGACAGCCCACGCTGGTGTGATCGCACAGAAGGAGCGACACCTCAGTCTACGTCGTCACTTCCTTAAGGACCACACAAACATCTTTGAGCACTCCTCCAGAAATGCATCTGCTGTAAAGAAACAACAGCATGCAAGTATTTTGCCTATGACAGGACCAACTCCTTTTTCCAGTTAGTATGTCATCTAGTATATGTGTTAATATATTTTTTATACATGTTATTACATATGGTTATCAATATAGGTGTTTGTAATTGATTTTTAATTTTATAAAAGGAAAGCAAAATATAACAAGAAGATATTTTAGGAATCAAAAATATAAGTTTTTAACCATTCATATCAGGTGAAAAGATTATATTTTGGAATTCTTTTCTGATATTTAAGTGATAGGTAAATCATTTTATATGAAACCCCCATTTCCCCAATAGTAAACGTTTTGAGTGGACTCAGAATTGGCTGTTGTAACATATCTATTTAGATATGTCACATTTTTAGAAGTTCCCACTGAAGAAATTGGAAAATTTTTAGTTGAATTTCCTGGGGACAATCCACTTCCCTTCTATAATACGTAGTGAACTTGCCAACAGAAATCGTTACACACAAGATTCAAGCTGGGCGCTGTCAGTAAAATAAAAACATTTTCATACCTTGGCATTAAAATCACAATCACCTTCTCAATGACCCCCTGGCAAAATAATAAAGTGTGATTATGAAGAAGTTTTAAATTTTTGATTTGTCTCCAATATTGTATCAGAGCCTGCACTAAAAAGAAACAGCATTGCCTTAAAATTTTAATGATATACATGAATACATGCTATTTTGTAACAGTAGTGAGTTCTCTTTCTAATTTGTTAAGGTTCAATCCATTTTAGCCTTTTTGATAAAATTGTGTGATACTCTATGTGAATTGTTGGATAAAATCATAAACAACTTCTTGACAACAATTAAGACCTGTTGAATTAAAGAAAATTCTTAGTATTACATTTAACTGAATAATTGCTTTGTAATTTTCAATGTAATAATTTTAAACCAACTGAAGGAGTGTATGAAATAGTGTATTCCTTGATGTTTTTTTTTTATAATTTTCAGGTATTGGAGGGATCCACAATATGAGTTTCATCAACCAGGATAAGCCTGTGACTTTCTCCTCTGGGAATTCAGCTCTCTCAGGTAATTCAAAAACCATAATTACGGGATGATAAAATGATAGTTTTTTTTCCCACAAGATGATTCTACTTGTGATAGACCAGACAACACTAAATGGAGTTTGTTGTAGTGAACACTTCAAGCCCTACCGCTGAGTAAAGCTCATCACATATTGCTTAGTTTGTTGAATCCAACCTGCGGTTGCTAGTGTCGACGTGTGCTTATTGTGGCAATCGCCCCATTTGGACGACAGTGGCATGGTAGCTCAGTTGGCTAAGGCGTTGCACAACGTGTGCTTGGTCTTACCATGAGATCTACTGTAATAGCTTGTGGATTTCCTATAAGAAAAACAATAGTTATAATTAAGAGTCTTCATCACCCTGCGTTTTGGGGATATGACCTTTGGGGGAATGTGTTGAGGACGGGCAGGTAGCGCGGGGTCATTATGCGCGCCATTCTGAAAACATCGTAAGCACACAACTACTAAATCGACACGTCGGTGATTCGTCTGCCGCCTGAGCCAAGTTTTGTAAAAGGCTAGTAGCAAAGTAGCCTCCGACAAAACATGCAAATTTCGTCCCCCGTTTCGGAGGCCGTTTTTCAACAGATTTTCTTGAATTGGAGGGATCCACAATATGAGTTTCATCAACCAGGATAAAATAGTTGTATTAGAGCTCTTGTACCTCAAAAGGTTGAAAATGAAAAAATAATTAGTTTTATCAGTGTCTAAAAGTGACTCAATTTACATTACTTTAAGATTTTTTTGTACTTAATTATTGATTTTCTTGGATATATCATGTATGAGGGCCCTAGAACCAACATTAATCTGTTAGGGAAAAAAATTTTAACGTATCTTCACACATCCCACCCGGAGCGAGGGACGTCCAAGGCATGTTTTTATTGATTTTGCAGGGGTGAAGAAGACTCTGAACAAACCAATCTCGATCTGAGCCGAAAAGGCAATCATTGTCTGCTTTAAAATCCTTTCAAAATTTACGCTATATGTATGTATCAAAGCACAAATGTATTAGTAAAAAGTATAAACTATTTCAATAAAATTTACTTTTTGATTATTAAATAATCAAAATTAGAAATTTAACTATTGCTTGTAGGTATTGTTTTTCACGTGTAAAATCAAAAGTTATAATTAATCATAGTTTTACTGTTTACTTACCATCAATGATTGTGATTCAAGGTTGGGGGACTTCTGCGATATCCAGTCTGAATCCCTCCTCAACATCAAACTTCCTGCAGTCGCCCGGGTCAAGTTTGCTGAGTTCTCCTCAGCCCGTGGACAACCAGAGTTTCCAGCTTGGCAAACCTCCCCCTGGCAACAAACGAGGGAAGCGATAAACCATCATCATAGACTATGTTCAAACTATTGAATAATTAAATTTGTAATATGATTTTTGTAAAAGTTAAGCTATTTAAATAAATCATCGTATCCAAGTATTGATGGATGGATTTGCAATTAAACTTCATTGGAAGCCTCAAAATACTTCTCTGTACATCTAATGAACAGATGCCATTATCATCACTACTCCTACCATCTCCCAACGGAACTTGATTCCGAACAACCTCAGTAAACTTTGATTTGTTTGTTTGTTTATTAATGCGCAAGTTCTTGTGACAAAATACCACTCATGTTGTAAGGTCTTAAAGTAATATCGTGTCAATAAATATTAAATACCCCCGCCGCGGCATCAAGGATGAAAAAAAATTATTTTCCACTAAGTCAACCCCAAAGAATAACGTAAAAATATTTTTCCGATACAGAGTGTGCCAAAAACTGAGGGTCACTCGTTCGAATCTCGGAATTTTCAAATGTAAACATTATGTTATGTTATACACTATTTTAAGGGTATTTAATCAAATCAAATCAAACAGAAATTATTATCTTTTTCGTTTTAAAAATGGCGGCATTTCTTTTTTAATCAATATTTTGTTAATACTCTGTGTTTCCTATACCAATGCACTTAGCCCTTCTCAGGGTGAATTTTCTTACTTGTTATGAAATTAGCTTTACTCTAATATACTACAAGTACAGATTTTTTGAAACAACAAAAATTCCAAAAAAATTATTTTGAAAGTTTGCAATTGCCCACTGTTCAAAATTTTCAAATGGAAACATACAGTAGACTCCCTCTTATCCGGACTCCTCGGGAACGAGGCCAGTCCGGATAATGGTTTTTCTGGCTAAACCGACGTCCCCAAAAACTCGTTAAAAACGGACCATTTACTGTGATATTTGACTTTAGGAGAGCATTGTATTTATACACGTGATCACTGGTCTCAAATCTTTCCCACGAGAACAGTCGTTTCAGTACCGTCCACTTCCTGCTGATCTAGTCCAGTTAAACCAATGTGCTGATAAAAATTGTCCGGTTAAAGAGATGTTATTTCCGCCGAGTGTAGTCCGGTTAAACCGATGTCCAGTTTAAAGGTGTCCGGATAAGAGGGAGTCTACTGTATGTCAAAAGGCACATCATTTTATAGGTTTTTAAAATTCTGAACAACTTTGTAATTTACACTTTCTTCGTATCTCTTTAAGTTTTTGTATAAATAACAGAAAACCTAATTTTCCTATATCAAATGCATGTTATTTGGGTTTAACAATAAAAAAATTTGGCTTATCCCTAACCCTTGTATACAGTACTTACTATCTTCGACTATTAATATAACTAATGTTTAAATAGTTTAAAAAAACAAACATATCCTGCATAGAATTTTTTTTTATTCATCAAAATCGGCTTGTCCATTCAGCCGCTCTTGATTGTTAACTTTAATTCTGATTCATGTCAAGTTGGGTACTGGAGGGAATTTTTCCAAATTTGAACCATATTCTGCAAATTACTGTATGTAACTAACAGCAAAATAGCTTTAGAAAATTAAACTCTTTGTGTAATTAATACATTGTTATTTTGTGAATAACACAGGCCTTTATGTCAAAATATAAAATAGGGGTTTAACAATGGCAAAAAGTATAATTAATATTTTCAGTGCTTAGATATTTGAAATGGGCCTTCAAAACGATTTACGCTATTGTTTCTTTAATGACCAAGATAGGCAAGACAATATATGTTGGTTTCCTAATGATATTAATTCATAAAACTAAAGAATACTGGATTAAATTAATGTCAGGGAAATTTTTGTTTGCAATGCTGTAAATCTGCGTCAAATTCCGCTCATACTCGTTGCATTAATTTGGTCTGTTGCTAGACAACAAAGATAATACAGTATTTATTTAGCTTGTTAAAGCCGTGTTTACACTGGAGTTAATAACATAAAGTTAATTAACTTTTGTTATTAACCGGCAGTTATTAACAAAAGTTAATAACAGAAAGTTATTAACAAATTATTTTGTACTTCAGTTTTTGTTAAAAACATTTATGTTAAAAACATTAAGTCACTCCGCCAGTTTATTGAAAATCAACACAGACAAAACACAGCTCATTAACTTCCGTTTATCAAATCATTCAAACCGATCAAACAGTGGGTTTAGTCTCCTTCTGGACGAAACTGAGGTCCTGAGGTCCACCCTACACCAAATGTCAAGTTCCTTGGATTGATCTTAGACGAGAATCTTAGATTTCATGACCATATCAAATACATAAAAAAAACCTCAGTTCTAGTAATTTCGTTCTGCGTAACCTCAGGAACAATGACAATCTGGAGATATTGTTGACGGCATACTATGGGCTAATTTATCCTCACTTAGCATACGCCGTTCCTATTTGGGGTTGCGAGTGCCAGCAGACTAAAATGTTGTTTAAACTCCAAAAAATAGCTGTGAGAACTGTTTTTCTCTAAAAAGGCGCAAATCATGCCGTAAATATTTTTTCAATTCAAAAATTTTGACATTCCCATCTATTTAAATTCTTGAATCTTTAACATTTGAGAGACAAAAATTTTCTAAATTTGACTTTTCTATAAAAAACCAATACACATTGCGCAATTCACATACATTACCAATTCCTAAACATTCAACAACATTTTTCAAGAAGCACTTACTGTGCAATGGCATAACACTTTTTAATTCACTTCCACTTCCTCTTAAACTTGAACTTAAACCTGTGAAAATTTAAAAAACAATTAAAATCTTTGTTGATAAAGTTTACCTGTTACAGCGTCCAAGAATTTGTAAATAAAATCAGCTCGATGAATAGTGATCTAGCCTAGATATGTATATAAAACTGTATAACTTTAAGTACTGTATAAGACCTCTTTAAATAGTTCTTAAGCATATATAAGCTAACTTTTATTTAATGATGACTTAGCCAATACAAATTGTACAATATTTTGTTAATTCTGGCTTATAAATGATTTGATTTGATTTGATTCCATGTGTTTCTTCTGCTGCAGTTGGTACTGAGGGCCGACTAGCGCGCTCTCTGTAGGACGATGCTGGGCGCGGGGGTTGCGGGGAAAAGAGAGGGATCTGTTATTAACAAAAGTTAACGCGCTAAAAGAGACCATTAACTTTTGTTATTAACATTTGTTAAAAACATAACACGTTTCCTTTGATCTTTACCGACTGATGGATAACATAAATCTTGTTAACAACAAGGAATTTTCTATTAAAAACACGAGTTAGGCCTATTAACTTTTGTTAAGATAAATTTTTGGCAATTCTGTTATGTTAATAACTTTTTGTTAAAAACACGTGTTATTAACTCCGGTGTAAACGCGGCTTAATAGGTCTTGTGCCTAGAAAATGTGTCAAAGATATTAATGTTGGGTATCATGAAGTTTAAAATTGACAAAGTAAGTTTGCCTGATTTAAGTAATTTTTTTCTCCTACTTTCCTTAATGTACAAGTTAATATAAATGAATATTTTCAATGATTATAGCCTATATTTTTTAAATGCATTATTTTTATTGTATATATTATTCCATTGTCCCTGGGTAGTTACAAATAAAACATAGACAATAAGTAATTATATCAAGAAACCAAGAGTATATTATTTTTTAGTATGTGTGTTTGGGAGTTGTAAACCAAAAACTAAACAAAAAATCAACTTTTTGACTAAAGCATTTTTGCTTAGTTAAATTTTTATTTTTATGACTGAGTGGTATCCATGGACATGAAATTGTATAGGTACTTAACATTCTAAATTGTTTCAATAAAGAAAATTTTGAAAATCCTACATTGTCATGTAAAAATTTACAGTATTTAAAGTTTTATATATTTTAAGTAATAAGACATAAAAGTTACGCTGGTGTAGTATGGCTTTTGTTCAAGGAGCCCTCATTGTTGTTATAACAAGTTTGCTTGGATTTGGTTCATGTTTTGATCTGTACAGCACCATAAAATATGTGTTTAAAAATGATAACTCTAAGGTTAAAAAGAAACGTCTGTCTCAATCGGAAAAGTGGTTAGAAGATATCAGAGCTCATAAAAAAAATTTGGTTTACCAAGAAGCAGAAAGGACAAATGAAGGAAACGATACACAATCATTTCAAACTAGTTCAACAGATCGTAATGAAAAAAAACGTATAAATGCCGATAAGCCATCCACTAAGAAATTTGAAAATCCTCAATCTGTCTCAGTGATAACCAATCCAAAATTGAGAGTTAATGAGGTTACAATAACAGAAAATATTCCTGTCAGATCGTCATATAAAGTTACCACAAAAACTAGTAAAGATAGATCAATTAAACGAAATAAAGCTATAAATCAACAATTGATTGATGCTAAGGCGACTTTAAGAAAAGTCAATGCTAGAAACAATGACGGAACTAATGTAACACCAAATGTGAAAGTGCATCCACAAACTAATGTGAGGGCATCAAATTCAAAAACTCCAAAAAGAATACCAGGTCTCAAGGCAAGAGATGATGAAGAAATATCTGTCTCCCTTACTTCAAATACTAATTATTCTAAGCATACTGAAATACTGCCAAAAAATGTTGATCCTGATAAAAGACCCAAACAAATCTATGGGAATCAGAACCAGAATGTAGATAATACTAATCAGCAATAGTATAAGACAGACTACTTTAAATAACCATTAATTTACTACGTTAATTTTTAGATCTAAATAATACAGTATATTTTATTATGACACTATTGGTATTACTTGCACTGATAAACAACCTGCCAGCATAATAGTCCCAGATTAAGCTACGATTGTGCTAGGACGCTGGAGTCTGGGATGCTAGCGGGGCATTAAATCAAATGGGAGCGATTAGACTAGGGATGCCAGCGTTGGATGCCAAAAAAGCCACCAGAGTAGCTGGGACGCTGAAATTTGTCCTATGACTTTTTGCCTCCCGGGATGCACAAAATCGGTTGTGGGGCATTGGTTCAAATGTGGCGCAATATACTAGGCTACTAGCATCCAAGACGCTGTCTTTTGACATGTGCACGAATATAAGAAATAAGCTATTACCGTAGGTCTCATGGTAAGACCTGGACCAGGGACCGATTTACTTTTTCGATTTGATGTCC